GTATCCTGAAAACTTTTCAGTTTTTGAAATTGTAGCAAGTTTCTAAGCCTTTTGGCTTGAAAGTAATGCATCTGATCTGGGTAACAATTATTTGCACAGGAACTTTGGTTACTGATTCTCCCCATAACCAAACAGAATCAAACCACAAATTCATGCAGTTTAAGGCAACAAGTAGGTGTGCACATAATTTGCTACATATTAGTTGTAAAATGCACATGCATAGTTTATGTGTGTGAGAGAGGGGGGTCATATGCATATATGTTTTAGGTTCAGCAATGATAGAGCTAGCCAAAACTGCAGATCCTTCTATAACGATTAACAGATTCAAGAAGGATACATATATTAAAATAATTTATAGTGCTAATGAAACAGAACCTCTATGCAGAAGGGAGTGAACCTCTATCAAATGACAGCAACAGCGAAAGCTGTCAGTTCCCACCTTGCTTGTAAATTTCTCAGTACCACTGGACTGGCTGCTGGAAAATCTGAATGATAGTTGTTATGCCCCTGATTTAATCTTACAAAGTGCTTCTAATGTTCTTCAAAGGTGAACACAACGCAGCCACTGTGGTGCAATTTCACTCTAAACTTAGTCAGCTACACTGGGACACCATCACAAAGGCTGTATACTCATGAGATACCTGTCTGACTTTATAAATCTATCAGAACCATCACCTAGCTTTTTAAAATTTTGGAGGGGAAACTCTCCAAACCCATGTATTCAACTGCATATACAGAATGTCCCCTAGTAAATATTTGCACTGTTTATAACCAGCAAATTCCTTTCTATGCACTGATTCCTACTGAATCTTCAAATTCTCCCAATGCAATCCCTCTCATTAATTCCCTGCAATCGTTTCTTATTCCCAACATTCTTGCTGAATTCTTAGGTAGGAAGAGCATACCTCGATATCTTCTCGGTGTCTCTTGCGCTGCCAGGCAGACATCTGTCCCTTGTTGTGGGAGGAGTAGGAACTAGAGGCACACCACACAGACAACCTGGAGGGAAAACAGAAGGAAGATGATGCACAAGAATTTGCAAATGAACCATGCAGAACCTCCTTGCTTTTTTGCCCTCTGACTCCAACATTCTTAGACTGTTTTGGAAGAATATATTGCATTTAGTAGAGAACAGCAAAATTCCAATGAATAAACAAATTCTCTATTCCCTATTTCCACTTGGCCCTAATCTCAGAAGACAAGCATGTCAAATTCAGCACGTAAGAGGATCTTTATAGGGAGAAAGAGCATGTTCTCGGATTCTGCTTAGAAATCCAGAAATTGAACACCCATTGTCTAGCAGCCTGGATGGACCAGAGGACTCCAGTCCAAACTTTGTGAATAATAATACCTGTCACTTTGAATACTCCTGTCCCACAGCCTTCTCCTCTTAGCTTTCTATAGTTGATACTTCTTTGGCTCTCAGCAAAATGCTTTCACCACAAAACAAAATAAAATACAATCCTATAATACTCAGAACTGGAGAAGATACTGGAAAATACTGAGCAGAGGCTAAGCGGAATTTCCAGGGGAAAGAGTGTGACGCTTTGCCCTTTCCTAGCAACTGAATTAACTGCCACTTTTTAAAAAGGCACCTCTGTTCTTAGTCTACATTAAGCTTTAGATTACCAGTTTCAGCACAGTTCATTAATTTTGCTCCACTTCTCTCTTACTTGGCGAGGGCCTTGCCAGGTGGATCCATTAGCATATGCCCCTTTTAGGGGGCTGTGAGCAGACTGGGCAGGATGTGTCCCAGCAGGGTGAGCGTCAGCTGTTGCATGTCCAAGCAGAAAATGGAGTACAGCAACTCCACAGCTCGTATTGCATGCTCTTTCCTTGTTTCTTTCAGGAGCTCCTAAAAGACAAGAGAAAACAATGCATCCAATGGGGCGGAGAAGAACTTAGCTTTGGTCTTTAGCATCGCAGTTACCAAAATGCTATGAGAAGTTATGGCACCAGAGTGGCACGGTCAAAACAAGAGAAACATACTCTTTCCTGAAATACATTATGGTGTCAAATGCTCCAGAAGAGGCACTGGAAATGCACTGCCACTATAGAAAGGTGCTTAGGATGGTGCTCCCACTGTTCATATACGTACTGCTGTTTTTGAAGATTTACCTCAGCCCATTGCAACAAACATGTGAAATATATGCACAGTATGCATATACTACACACGTTTATGGAGATATACACAGACACAGATATAGACACCAGACTGCTCCCACTGTTTATATACTGCTGTTTTTGAAGATTTACCTCAGTCCATTGCAACAAACATGTGAAATATACGCACACTATGCATATACTACACACGTTTATGGAAATATACACAGACACAGATATAGACACCAGACTAAAGGCCTATCAAGTGTAGTGTTAATTAGCTCATTCCCCTCTGGAAAGTCCACAGAATGTGTTACCAAAGATGATACATAATCATAGTGACGGGTGGTCACTATCAACCTTTAATCAAAGAATTTGCCAAATCATTAAAATAAAGCATCACCGCTTGTTCCTCTGCCGCCACATACCTTAACAAGGTTGTTGCAGAACCAGTAGACTCCTCCCATGTGCAGAAGGGTGTCGAAGATATGGATGGAGCGGCTATCCACCCAGCCTTTCTCCAGCACCTTGGAGAAGACACCCATCAGCACTTCTTTGATGGGCTTCTTGGGTGGAAGGAGGTTCCAGTAGGGCATGGGGTCGACTCCTGTTGCTGGGAATTTGATCTGTGCAGCTGTCTGCTGCACAACGTCAGCACACATATGCTCAAGAATTGAACTCATGATCAACACTCTGGACAATAGAAGAAAGAAAGATGAAAGTATTAAACTGTTACTTACCAATGGCTAGGTTCCAGAAAATCCCCTCTTGGCATGAAAACCTGAGTAAACTTGGATGAATGATACTTCCTCTCACTCTATCTGCTTCACAGGTCTGTTATGAGGAAAGACTGGGGGCAAGGAAGAAACCCATGTGCACTGCCTGGAGCTCATTGTAGGGGAAATACTGGTGACCCCCCCCCTTTAAAAAAATCCAAACAAATGCAGCACAAAGAAGCAGGAGAAGGTTCCTTGAAACTATAGCCTACATGACTGAGGAGTAATAAAATCAGATCCAGTTGCACATCACTTTCAAATGTAGGTGAAAGAAGGTGTGAATACAAAATACTTTAACATTACAGCTATCTTTTAGGAGGCTGAATGCAGCCTTCTGAAACAGACTTTAAGCTCTGACCATCAAGGTAGCATCACAATCATACATATAAGCAAGGTTCCCTCTAAGGTGAGTACGCATGACTCCACCTCCCTCTGCACAACATTCCTCCTCTTCCACACACCCACGCTGATTGTCTTCAGCCCCTTTGGTTCTGGTCACAACAGAACCCCATGGGTGTGGGTGGGTGTGAAGTCGCATGAGAGGGGGACAGAGTCACACCCAGCGGAACTGAAAATTAGAGAGAACGTTGCATGTAAGCAAAACATGCACAGACCTTTGCTAGATTTTATACCCTAAAAATAGCACCCTGTTTCCTCCCAGCACCTGGATAAGCCACACAGGTAGTTCTCACCTCTCACTGTAGAACTGTAGGGTATTTTCCCCATATAAGGGAGTCCCTAACTGCCGGATCATCTGCAGGGACTTCTCTCGCTCATCCAACCCCAGCATGCGGACATGGGCCACGAGCCAGGCCACGGCACACACAGCCATGCTGCACACTTTCCCTTTAATGTTATCTGTGATTTTCTGGGGAAGAAAAGAGAGACAAGCAAGGTTCCCGCTAAGTTGGGTGCATGCGCACAACTCCGCTTTCCTCTGCGCAGCTGTCTTCATCCTCTGTGCAGCGATCGTATTTTGTTCCAGTTTTGCTAGACACGTGGCAGAGAATGCATACCAACAGATACAGTTTTCAACAAAACATTGGCACCATGAAGCTCTGCAAAGTGTGAGCAGCCTAGGCAACCTTTTGGCTTTGCTTGATGACTCCTTCACCCATCACTCTCTTCTCTTGTTCTCCTGCTTGGAACTGAATGCCATTGTGTGTCAGCTCTCCTTCACTTCCTTCAATCCATATCCCAAAACCCATCTCTTCCGCTAAGCCTTTGCTTCATCTCTGCTCCCAAATGAAACCAATCTCAAGTATCCATTGTAAAAGCGAACAAGCCTAAAGGTAGAAGACTGTCCAAATAAGTTTGGAATATGCTGCACATGATGTGATGTGTACATTTAGTTTGGGTCTGGAAGTAAAGGAAGGCTGGGCAATACACAGAATGTTATACTGGAATGTTATACTGGAATCTGTTTTTCAAATGTTGCAACACAATTTTTAAAGAAAATATAGGAACTGATATTATAAATTAGTAATGAAGCTATAATTAATACTAATAACATCCCATCAAATCAATTCTAACAGCAAGCCTCTTGGGATCTTCTGGTTTGCCAGTTCCTACTTTGGTTTGGCTTCTGGGACTGTGACGCTTCCTCAAGGCCACACAGATGACATGACATGTAAATCCCACCAGCCAAACACATTCTGGGTGATCTTGGTTGCCCCTTCTCTCAGGAGGCATAGTGAGGATTCAAACCCTTGGATCTCAACCTGGCATTTAAGAACATGCAACTCTATAATTATTGCTCTTTGGATTACTTTATGAGTAGCACTAATAAAAATTTAGAAATCAGAAAGCTTGAGTGTATGTAGTGGCAAATACTTGCTTTTACAGTGTATTATGCTGGACCCTTTACTTCTTCTCTTGTGTCCCCCACTCTACCATGATCTAAACTTCAATGTAAGCTCTTAAGTGCAGTGACCTAAGCACCATACACATTTATACAGGGCAATTACATAATTTATTTCTAAAAACATATTTTTCTATATATGCATCTGAAGAAAATTTCAGCAATTTTAAAAGATGGTTCCTAACATTCATAACACTAGCTATTTCAACAAACAGCATGAGCTTGCTTTTTCTGCATTCATTTTTCCAGTAGAATCAATGTCACTACCAACACTCGGATCCTTTTCTTCTGCCATCAGACATGCTTTAGGACAGTGGTTCTTGAACTGGGGTCCTCAGATGTTCTTGAACTGCAACTTCCAGAAGCCTTTACCACTCGCTGTGCTGGAAGTCGCAATCCAAGAACATCTGGACATCCAAGTTTGAGAATCACTGCTTTAGGGTACCAGATAGCCTATGCTGGATAGCTTAGTGGTTTAAGTTTCTGGCTGCAGAGCCAGAGGTTGGGAGTTCAATTCCCCACTGTGCCTCCTTAACAAGGGCTGGACTCAATGATCCATAGGGTCCACTCCAGCTCTGCAGTTCTATGACGATGATCCCATGGCAGCAAGCTGGTATAGAGATCCCTTTCAAATATCCCTTTCAATCCCAGATGTGTTATGTGTCAATATAAGTCTAAAGCACACATTTAAGGCGACTGTGTGGCTAAACAAGAACACAATATGTAAAAAGAAAAACAACTTCCCACCCACCTAGGGAATAGGCCCATGGAGAAGAACAGGTAACTTCTTATGCCAGCTGCTCTTTACGGAGGAGTTAACTGAAACCTCCAACTTCCCACCTCTCATAATACAGCTCAGTACTGGCTGCATCACCTGGCTCTCTCAACTAAGTGTTTCAGTTCTCTGTTCCCAGCTTTTAAAAACTAACAGTGGCATATATTCAGTTTATGTAGCTTTTCCAGCATATACTGGAAAAGGCAGCTTTTCGGCATTACCTGAACTGAGTCAAAGGTGAGAACGCCATTCTCCCAGGCATTCAGGATCTCCAAGATGGCAGCAGAGATGCTCATACATGCTTCATGCCATTTCATCTGCCTACTCAGATGCAGGGATAGATGAGAATGCAAAGAATCAAAAGGGGGGGGCAAAACAACTAGTTAGGTATACAGGTGCATGGCTAGGCATGATTACCCCTGTCCACCAGCTAAGTATTAATTTTGGATGTCTTGATATGAGCAACAAGAAATGGTATATTCCCAGGAGCCAAGTTATTTCAAATAATTAGCGAGCTGCAATCAGCTCCTTTGCTTCACAGCTACGGTAAAACATTATATTATTCTTACAATATAGCAAAGCACAACTTCATTTCTTTTGCACAGTAACTATATCTTCTATTTCCTTTTATAACTCTGGGGGATGTAGTCTCACTAAGTGATGAAACAGAATATATCACATGCTCAGGCTCTGTTATGGGTGTTTGTTGTGGGGATTATGGGATAGCAGACA